TATACGTCAATTTCTTTCCATAGGTAGAAATTTCGTCTAAAACTATCGTTATATCCAAAAGTTGAAGTCTATTTCATTTTCAACGAATATTCTATTTGCACATAATATATTTTCTAATTTATTTTAGAAAGAGTAATCTTTCACGTTTTCAAAAGAATAAGGAAATATTGGGTGTTGACACCATGTAGTAAATTTGTTTTTTATATTTCTTCCAGTAATGAAAACGATTACCCTGCAATATTTTCAAAGCAAAATTAAGAAAACCGTTTACGCCAAATTTTGCATAAAGTATCTTCTCGTGTATTTTTTTATTTAAAGTGTGGAATTTTCTCTTTGAAAATATCAAAAATCATGAAGAGCAAAATTAATTCATGAGAAATAACTTTGAAATGCAATAATTCCATTGTAATATGAAATAGTGGAGAAAAGTGCAATACAGTTTATTTATTCACAAATAATCCCCCTCATATGCGTAATTTATGTACTGTCGATTGAGAAATATAGGTTAGTAAATTAAACCGGTTAATTCAATACTTTTCCTTTATCAATATTTTTACGGGCTCTTCAGTAAGCGGTAAAGGTGGCTGAAACACTTATAGCTCGCTTGGATTTGAATCCCGGATAAATAGTTGGAGTCATGGTTTTTGTGTAACGTAAATGCAAGCCAGCTTCTCTTAGAAAGTCCTCCGCGAAGACATAACTCCCCTTATACAGGTAATCGTTGGGTGCTTTGATGTAATTCAGTAAGCGAACAAATTAATCCAATCAATACCGAAGAACGGGTTGATTACATGTGGAGTTTTCCACCAGGAATGTAAATGCGAGCAATTTTCTCTTAAAAAGGTTTACACGAAAGCATCCATTCCCTTAAGCAGATAGCGTTCGCGTGCTTTTCCGTAATCCAATCCTAATTTTCATACATTTAGTAGTAAGTTGACATACACCTTATTACAGACAAAATAACAACTTTTTTAAAGATATTTTTTTATCAACTTGTCTGAATTCTCTCTATCTCTTGAAGAGTATAAGAATTTCAGCAAATAAAACTGGCCAAAATTTTATAACATTTAACTGATGTTTTGATTCAGTTTAGAAGTAGCGTAACGTGAGCTTTACTGATATTTAAATATTTTTTGGCAGATCTCATCCTAAAAGAGGGTGTAAAGATAAATTGATTTTATTTAATTTACAATCAATGAAAATCATTGAAAGCAATCACTGAATGAATGAAAAAAATCAAAAAACTATTATGCATACAATTGTCTCTTATTTATCTCCTGATAAATCAGACAAAATTGCCTGCATAATAGAAGCACTTTGAAAGAGTTTAACAGTTCTTAAGGGTTTTATGCACTCCACACAAAACAATGTCAAAATAAAATCTTATTATTCATAAGTATGAAAAGGAAGTAAACGAGTAAACGATAAAAACGGTTTTACCTATTTTCTAGAAGGGCATTAAATCTAAAATATTAATCTATTCTTATTTGTTATGATTAAAGAACATTAAATATGGTATGCTTAAAGAGCGTGCAAAATCGCTGACGTTTTAATCATAGCAAAAGTCAGTACTAAAAAAATTAGCATTAAAATTATGAGACAGATTGAGAAAGAGATGGCCTCTATTTAATTTTCAAGTATATTGGCGCGAGACGAAACTGCGGTTTTTGCCAAAATGTAGCCAAACTGATAAGAAGAGGGAAATAATGCGTAGCCAGCGGCTACTCTGAGCAGCGACAATGGACCACCCAAAGATCTACAGATAGGAGATTCTCTAAAAATGGGGAAAGCATGGATGGTACGACAGTTGTACCAATCCTCCTGGTTACAATATCTCCTGGTACAACTGCTGTACCAGCCGGCTTCGAGAGGTTAAAGGAGCCAAGTTGGCGCAACCAAGGCTGTTCTCCGAACCTTATCCTGAAAACGTTACATTACTCTAACTAGTGCATACATATAACTGAGCGAAAAGGGAATTTCCTCGCTTAGTTCGCAGTTGAAGAAAAAATAAGAATAATAAAAAATAGTCCAATCAAATGCGGCGCTCCTTCTGTCGACTTCGCACAGCCGTTGTCTGCAACAGCCGTCTCCAACTCTAGCGGTTCACGAACTATAGTTACGCCACCGTCAACAATAACATCATAGGATCATGCTTTCTTTCTTTTATTGTGAAACTTTGATACTTACTAAGACTTTACATGAAGAGAAAAGGCCCAAACGACTATTTATATTAATGTTTTCAATTATTTTTAAAAAGTAAATTTGCCTAATCTCGAGCTATGTTCTCACCTTAAATAATAATTTTGAATATTTTAGCACATACCCTAGTGATGAAGTTAAAGAACTATTTTCGGTGTCTAACAGCTTGCAGTATGTGTTTCGGGCTTCTGGAAAATAAAGTCTTCATTCATCAATATAACCTTTGCAGGTATTTAATATTTTGTAAATTTTTGTTGTTGTTCGAAGGAGCAATAAACAATCAGTTAAGCTACTATTATGTTCGAGTAGATTTGAGAATATTTTACTCTAGTAATATGTAATTCGAATGCATGGAGTTCCCGTATACATATTTTCTTCTTTTATTTGTTGTAGGGGAAAATTATCAGTATATTTACAGATCGTAAAAGATTTGGCACACATTTTCACAGGAATTCAATCATTTCAGCCTTGCGTCATTTAGTTGATTGTCTGTTCGATTTTGTTTAACTGTGTACGTCATTAAAGAAACAAAATTTAAATAATTTGCAACCAAATAAAACAGTTGAAACACATTATCGTTTCGCTTGTTATGAACACATTATGAATTATTGGTGCCAGTGAAAAAACATTTTGTGCAGTTATGAGTATAGATGTAAACTCATTTTTAATAAATTTGCTTGTGGTATTTATTTTCAGAATTTGTTTTGCGATTTTTGTGAAATTTAAGTAGTTTATCTACAAACATAAGCAAGTCCACATACGTTAATATACATGATTAACTATTATCAACTAATATAATAAAGGTGAGAAAATGTCTACAGTCTCTAAACAATACAAAATGCACTATTCCCTTTACTCTCAGTTAAATTTTACGTGTGATTGATTAAATTTAATGTTTTTATGTACATTATTTTAAGTATTAATTGCTTAATCAAAGTTGGTATATGATAATTTTGTATTTCTTGTGTGATTAATTTTATTAGATTAAGATAAAACAAGGCGTAATACTTTGTGATTATCTGCATACTCACCGAAAAGCCACGAAAACGTATTAATGAAGCAGCAGATCATGCCTCGAAAAAATAGTTATTATACAATCCACAGTGTTGCCATAAAGTATTTGTGTGGCAACACAAGTATGCTCTTTTTACATCTGATATGACCAAGTACACCTGCCCAGATGGCTTTCTAATTCTATGGACATTTTTATCAATGTGATTGTAGATTATGATCCCTTTTATGAGAATTTCAGTGGACTGTATACTGCAGTTCTTGTTGTCTTTGAAATCTCAGACTTAACTTTCTGCATGCATAGAGTGTAATGCAGCTGTCTTATCACATGCCTTTTTTCCTCTTCTCGTTTTGTGATTTAGGTGTTGAGGTTATACCTGATACTGAGTTTTGCAATTTTCTTTTTTTCAGCAAAAATGTAATAATGCTGTGTACATAGTTAGAACAGTAGTGGGAGGGTGAGGCGAAACAATACATATCTCTTAATATGGAAAAAGTAGACTAAAAGAATAGGTAACACTCAATGCATCACTGATATAAATGGAAAAATACTTAAACAAAATTTCTGTCCAAAGTTGGCTGCAAGTTTGTGACTTTTGGGTGGGAGTAATGAAAAATGCCAAAAGCCCTTTAACAATTTGTTGCACATTGTGATTACATCATCATATAAATCATTACAATAATTACCACTTTGGATATGTATATATCCAAATTTTTCTTAAATAAACGGTTAATGTTTGGATTATGGTAACTTGGCGATTTTTTGGCGAAAATTTGGCAACCAACCCTGTTACAGCAACCTGCTAGTTTTTTTTTTTTTCTCTTTTGGATGCCATTTTGTTTTCGTGAAATACAAGGCATATATATTTTTTTTTAACTCAACATTTTTTTCCAACAATCTGCTAGCCAAATTACGCTTATGCTAGAACTTTTATGGAACAAAAGTGTTTAATCATGACGAAGATTAGGTGCGAAATTGGGAGAAAGTGCAGAATCGCCCACTGCTTGCTGCGTTTTTAAGAATTGCACATACATGGTATCCATGTACACGTCGACCTATTTTCACTTAAAAAAACATCCTAGTATTGCACAAAAATGGCATTGCGCACACTCTTTGACTTTATCCATGTACCCTGCTAAAGTCCTACCTAGTAACCTTTATCGCTTTACCAAAATGTCACCATACTACCTGTTACCATATTCCAAAGATAAGCCAAATAAACTATTATACTTTAATTATTTTGCATCTTCATTGAAAATTAAATCAGATTTTGCAGGAAACTAGATATTATTTTCTGCAGCAACACTGTAGTTTTTGATTTTGGGATGAACCATTACAAGCCTAGGCCCAAAAATGACAAATAAGGCATGTAGACGAACACCTTGTGGCAAATTTTGAGCAAGCATAGAATTTGTCACGTGACAGAAACATCAAATTTTGAGGAAATTCATCCTATAACGATGCTTTGTATTGCCTTCAGTATTTAATTTATATAAATGACTAAGCTAACAATTTTTGATGGGGAAAATAATCAAAATTTATAAGTCAAATCATGAAATTTCATGTTTTATATTAACAAGTGTCATGACTAAAGATTTGCATTAACATCATAATGGGTCTCTTTGGTGACTAAATAATATGTATTATACAGTACAAAGTCTGAGATCCACACTCATTGGGACCTTGGCTATTGTGGAAAAGATTATCAGTTTAGTAAAGATGACATGTAAAAATTATAAAATTAAATATATGAAATAATGATTTATGAAATGAAGCATTTAAAGCCTTAATTTATAAAAAAAAAAGTACGATATTTATTTGTTTGCTTTTTCTTCTAAGTTGTTTATAAGTTTCTTCATTTTTTCTTCATGTGTTAAGTTTAATTATACAGGCTTTTCCATATAAATTGGCACAAACTTTAAAGGCAGGTAGGGCACTTCAAAAGGAACTGAAAATTGCATTGAAACCCATGACCACAAACATCATCGTATGTCAACTAGGTGGTGCTGTTCACACAAGGGTGGGGGAGAAATATATGATTTTTCAGCATTCGAGTAGTAGTCAACTTAAGAGTGACAAGGCAGACATGAATTTATGTATGGATCAGCTGATGGCAATACAAGAGCTGATCAATTACTATTGAGAACAGTTTGCACACAGAGGTTTACTGACCACCGTTTGTTTTTGAACACACAATGCAATTTGTGTGAATTTGGGTCTTCAAGAGGTAGGAGACGTATTGAGAGCAGGCCATGAGTGACGTGTATGTCTTCCATGATGTCTTAGATATTGTTGGAGGACCATGGAGTATCGTACATCAAGTTTGCAGGTCGAATCATTTTATCCATATAATATTGAAAAAGTACAATCACCGTTCCCTGCAAATCATCCTGCACATGTACATTTTGTGTATTAAAAAACATATCCTTTCTGCAGTTTTTCATGACCTGAGATCTGCTTATGATTTAGTTTGTAAGGATACTCTTCTCTTGAAGCTTTCCAACATTGGAGTTTTGTTGGTTCAAGACGTTTCTTAGGCATCGGAGCTAAATGTTAACTGTAATGCAGAGCTTACTGTGATAGGGAACCAACAGCTTCAAATGTTAACTGTAATGCAGAGCTCACTGTTATAGGGAACCAACAGCTTTCAATACTTGGCTGTTGATTTTTACTGTAAATTGACTTGGAAAGAGCATGCTGAAGTGATTTTAGAGCGTGTTATTAAGTGGCTAACTTTAATGAGAGAATTGCTGGATCTAAATGGTATTTTTCTAGAACCACTCTTTTGATTTGACATATAGCTTCTTTGTTCTACCTCTTATTACTTACTGTGAACCTCTTGTTCTGGCAGCATAAAACCAAGCGATCGATATACTCGAAAGATTTCACAGCCAGGCTCTCCGACTTATCATTGGTTATGTTAAAAACCATTCCAGTTAATGCATTTTCACTAGCTTCACAACATATGTGCATTAAATCCACTGTAGAACAGAGAGCACTAATTCTATGGGGGGGGATGTAAGAGAACCCGACTATTCCTTATGGAACTATTGCCTTTCATTGATGAAGAAAAACATGAAAATTCAGAATGGTTTTCTTCAGGCAGCCATCTCCATCAGAGATCAGCCGAGTCCTAAATGGGAAGCAGAGAATTTTGTGAAACTGTAATATCCAGCTGAGATAATATGTAGTCAGAATTAATCTGTTACATGAAATCCTCAAAAAAGAAACAAAAGAATCAAATTTTAAACTGTGTGTCTTTGGAAACCATTAATGCTTTATAATCTTGAGAGTAAACGGCTACATATGTTTACGGATGGCTCTATGTTGGCTAATGCAGGTGCTGGCATCTTTTGCAGTCTGTCTGGCAGGAATAGGACTGCTTTTGATGCTGAAATTACAGTCATATGCGTAGTCTTATCTCAACTCCAATGTCACCTTGATTATTTTTCAAATATTGTTATACTTCCTGATTCTAAAGTTGCTCTTCTAGCCATTTCTTCTTGTGAATTACCAATGTCTGTTGATGTTTTGAAATATCAGCATTTACTAAACAACTTAGCTCAGAATGGCAAAGAAGTTGTTATGTAATAGATACCATCACACTATGGCCTTCACGGAAATGAAAAGGCAGATTTATTAACAAAGAAAGGGGCCAGTTTCTCCAAATAACTACACTTCTTTTTACACTGGTGAAATAGTAATTAAAAATTACTGAAGATAAGCTGTTTGGAAAGACATTACTGAAAAGGAACAGTCATAAAATATGGATTAACAGAATTTTCGACATAGCCCAGAAAGAAATCTGTTGTTACCTTTCATCTTGTTATTGACCACAATTGTCTTTTAAAACATTTGCATCGAATGAACATTATTCCTTGCCCAATTTGTAAATTATGCAACCTTCACGAAGAAATGGATGCCTTATATTCGAGTTGTTGCTCTGCACTTAATCCTGGAACTTTAAATAGATTTATAGGTTATACTGTGGACTGTTTATAGTTTTGTTGTTCTCTTTCACATTGGATTGTTCTGTTTACAATTATCTTTTACAGTCTGCCATGAGAAATAAATAAATACTAATAATAAAAATGCATTTTGTGCTGTGGTATCTCCACTAATGTGCCCAAGATGCTCATTTTCCATGGTGTACTGATAAGGCATATTTTATGAGATGGTGTGTTTAACAAACACAGTGTGCATGTATAAGTTTACAT